AGAGCTCCACTATTTTACCTTCCTTTAATAATTTGAGACTATTAAATCAAAAAGCAACTATATATATATAAGACAATTTATTTCTTCAAAGTATAAAATGCACTTTTTCTTTACAGTATATGTGCTATACATTGGCAGAAAATTTACAAAGAAACAAAAAAATTCAGCTTACCTGTGACAAGTTATTTCACAACCAAAATAATGTAATGTAAGGTGACTTTCCATATATATTGAATCTTTATCATCTGTTTTACCTGCTTGGAACCAGCAAACACTCTTCTCCTATCGGCAAGGCGATCTGGAATTTTTCTAGGAGTTTGAAGTACTGAGCCATATAGTTCTTTGGAAATCTCTTTTTCTTTGAAAGGAACTTTTCCACATCTCTACGGGAAATGATGCCCTTGGGATGTCTCAGACAGCCTTCCACTTTTACTGTCAAAATCTGAAAGATTTAAGCTCATGATCACCAGCATTCATTTTCTGAAATGTTTCTCATTTAAACCATTCCATGTCTTTTTGCTGGGCGTAAGCGATGGCAACAATTCGCCCAGCACAAGGAGGGATCAAATTTCTCTAATTCCTCACATCGCCTAGAAGCCCAGTGGGATATACACTTTCAGAAAACACTTGGAAAATGAGGGGAGAAGCTTCAGATCTCCACCACTTTCTTGGCTCCAATACTCAGTGTTTGCACCACAGTCTCATCACTGATATATTCCTGTGTACTCTTGGAAATTATCTTTCAGACTGACAATCCTGACATTTACACCATAGGAGAAAGCTTCTGTGAGTGGGAAGAGAGGCAGTGTGACCAACTACTCCGTGCTGCTGGATTCTACTGGTCAAGCCTGGGCTGTAGGTCTGGCGTGAAGCTGGGAATCTGCTTGTTGGCGTGCAACCAGATGATTTCATATATTTTGAGCGTTAGCCACTGTCATCCCAGTTAAGAATCTGAATCTGGGAGGTAGAGAGCTAGCTCATCTGATAAGAGCTCTGGCTGCTCTTCCAGAGGACCAGGGTTCAGTCCCAAGCACCCATGGTGGGTGCACCAACATACATCCAAGCAAAACACTCATAGACACAGAAAAAATAAATAAAATTTTTAACATAAAAAAGAAAAAAGAAAAAAAAGGATCCAAAGAATGTATAAGTTTGAGTTCAGGCTCGGCTGCTGACTGTGGTCCTGGGAAAGGCCCCGAGATTTCTTTAGACAGGTTCCCTCTCTGAAAAAAATGAGATACTAAAGGAGGCTGTGTCTTAAAAAGAAAGAAACAAGATCACATATGTAAAGCTTGAAACGCACATGACAATTTTAGCATAAATAAGTCCTTGTCTTAGTCATAATTACAGATTCAGTGTATTTTATTTTGATGAATTTCTTTTTAAGGCATTTCGACTTAATTTTTCTTAGTAGATCTGTAATGTATCAGGGGGTCCTAGATAGCTGCAAGTATCATTTCTGTTATATACTGAAATGAGGTAGCAGATTGTAAATGCTTAGGACCAAGGACTTGTCTGGCCCATTCTTATGTTTCTACTTCATACATATGATGCTTACTAGATGATGAATGAACTACTGATTAAAGCAATGGGTACCTCATGACAGTGACCGATGGGCCATCATGTAATGAAGCTGTGAACTAGGATTACCCCACCTTGCACACCTTACAGCCAGGCCAGATCACTTACAGCACAGGGCATGAGAGCTGCTCACAGCTTACTGTTCCTGAGGCGCTGAGCCCTTACAAACTCAGTTTCACAAGGAGTCTGTGCTTATTTGCTCTAACACAGCTGCAGGGTGCCATCACTCTTCACACCAGACACTTCCAAATGTGGCCACTCTATTCTCCCCTGAACATGTGTGCTGCTCAAGTCCTCAAAGCCGGAGCCCCCTTCCCCTCCCTCTGATCTGGGCCTATGGTTGCACTGGGGTTACTGGAGTGCAGAGAACTGACATTCTGCTAGCTTGGCTTCTGCCCTTTAAGAGAACTGGAAGCCTCTGCTTCGTTTCTCTGGGTGGCAGGTAAGACCTCCACTGCACTGTGATGATCCTGCCACAGGAGAGGCCCCAGGAGGAAGCCCAGTGTAGCTCAGATGGTGAGTGCAGCCTGCCTGCCTTCCCTGCAAACCAAGAGGATGAATAACTTGAGCCATCACAACTAACCCCACACAGAGTGGAAATAGGAAATGTCTGGCATGTTTCAGTTTCCACATTTTAGGGTGGACTTTTACACAGCAATAAAAATCTGGAACAATCTCTTAATTTTTATCACCTTTAAAAAGCCTAATATTTCGTCTCCTGACTAATTTGCATGTTAGTATCTATTCCTTTTCTTTTTTAAAGAAATATTTTATTTATTATTCTTATTTTATGTGTATGAGCGTGTTGCCTGCATGTATGTGAGTGTATCCGTGTCATGCAATGCTGCAGAGGTCAGAAGAGGGCTTCAGATTCCCCTGGAACTGGAGTTAAGGGTGGTTTGCAGCCTCCATATGGGTGCTGGGAATCAAACCCGGGTCCTCTGCAAGACCAGTCAGTGCTCTTAACCACTGAGCCATCTCTCCAGTCCCTACCTATTTCTTTTCAAGGAAGATGTCCCTTCTGTATCTCTCCTACCCGTTTTATCTAAATTAATCCAGCATGCAAGCCTGTTCAAGATCCACCTGATTAATTCAGCAGGTCTCTTTTATCCCTACCTTGGGAGAACATTCTTTAAGAGGGTCAGTGACCCTCCAGCTCAGCGCACAGTGGAATCATGAGAAGTTCTGCACGGTGAAGTCAGTCCTACCTTTCCTTATCTTGTTGATTCACAGAGGTAGTACCCCTATTTATTTTTACTGACAAACTAACCTTGTTCTCCCTTGCTTGTGACACTGTAAGTAGAAATGACACTATATTTCAGTGTATCAGCACAAATAAAAGTGACAGCATTTGATTTGTTGCTTCTGTCAATAAGAATTTGAAACTATCATTTTACCAACTTATTTTTGACCCTTGGAAATTTTATTTTTTTAACTACCCAGACTGAGATTTTCTTTCTGGAAGTTTAATTAGGTCGTTTACATTTTCTGCTGGGTGCAGGTGAACACTGGGGCTGCAGAAGAATAACAGAAAAATGAGGGAAAATCTCTTGGTGTCTGGGAATGGGAAGGTCCATCGTCAGAGCCTGGGTGCCCAGGACCACGTGTGGTCAAGACCACGGCTGGCCATCAAGGGAGGCAGGAAGTCCATTCCTGAGAATCAGTCCTCCCAAAACTAGAAACTGAAAATGACAGAAACCTCCACCTTCCCCAGTGTAAGTCCAATACAGATGCAAAGTCACTGCAATGGGCAACGGAGGACCTTAGGGGAGGGGTGGTGGGGAACGCAGCCATTCAGAGAGGGCTGAACCTGCTGCCCAGCGTTGGACGTCTTCCATCCTCTGATCTGCTCCACCATCAGCTACCACCAGAGGAGTGTGGAACCAGGACTCGGAGTTGAGAACCACAGCTCCAGCTCACAGGAGAGAAACCACAGTTAAGGTATATGAGATGGGAGACATTTTAAGTCTTTTATAGTACCCTTGAATTGTTTAAATTCTTGACTTAATTTTCACTTAAAGACCAAACATGGTGACTCATACCTGTAATTCTAGCACTTAATGGCTGAAACAGGAGGACTGCTGTGGGCTCAAGTTCAGCCTGGACTCTGCAGTGAGTTCTAAGGCAGCCTTAGCTACAAAGTAAGGCCAAAGAACTAGCCCGGTGATACTACACCTAAGATAACGAAAAGAACTTCCGTAGAGTTACACCTTAATTACGTCATAGAATCTTCAGGAAATTTACTGTGGTATTAGTAGAAATCGACTGTCTTTTTGGAGGGGAGGTCGCTGCTGTTGTTAAACGAAAAGAACACTGATGCAGACCTCTTCCTGACTCTACTCTGTAAGACGTCGCCCTCTAGTGATGCATCTGCTCGTGTGCTCAGTCACAAGGAGACCCAACACTGGTTTGTGCCTTTCTTGCCTATGTGGAGTTCCTGGTGGTTATAGTGCACCTCTCACAAAGCAAAATCCACAAGATGAATAAAACTCTCCCTTTGCTGACCATAAGCATCTACCGGTATGTATTTTTTGTTTAATTCCATACATGACACATTTCCTAAAATGGTATTTGTACCTCCTTTTTGCCTGGAAGTTATTCCCAAAAATAACATTCCAAAATTAGCAAACAGGTCAAATAAAGCTGGCATTTACTTGTACTTACATTGAACTAGGGCGACAACACACAGGAAAACATAATTTTCCTTATTTTCAAATGAAGAAAGAAACAAAGGTTTAAATCTGGAAGAAACAAGACGAAGCTGGTTCCAGTGTACAGGAATACGAACTCAGGAGAGTCTAACTCCAGTCACGTGACCCTGAGCACAGGACCCACTGGCTGCATTCTCCCTTCACAAGTAAGTTCACACTTTCCTTAACATTTGTTCAGAAAGATGAAAACCGAATTTTAAATACCTACTATTAAAGAGACACCCTGGGGGGGGGTTGGAGAGATGGCTCAGAGGTTAAGAGTACTGGTTGCTCTTGCAGAGGACCCAGGTTTGATTCCCAGCACCCACATAGCAGCTAATAACCATCTGTAACTCCATGTCCGGAGCAATCCAACGCCCTCTTCTGACCTCTGAGAGCACTGCATGACATGGGTACAATTACACACATTCAGGCAATCCACTCATCTACATAAAATAAAAGTAGTAAAAATATTTTTAAAAAGAGACACCCTACAATTAAATACGTTACATTAATACTGAAACGTGTTCTCAAATTCCATGGTATAGGACTGAACCTCAACTGAGTTCCCGCTTCAGAACATCTCCCTTCTTACCCTTAGGTGGAACTTTAATGATAGCCATCAAGATTATTTGAGGGAATTTAATTAGCACCATGCTTTAATTGAAAGAGATATTTCCAGCATAAAAATAATCATGTTAGGGGCTCAGGGAGCGACATGCAAAGCTGTAAATTATGTCCCTAAGTAAAATAACTGCCAAAGAATATTCATGCTAGAGGCCTCTGCCCTGACCTCCCTCACCACATGAAGGAGACACAGTACTTTGCAGCTGTGCTGATTCTGTCCCCTTGGCACTATTTGGCAATGTCCAGACACATTTTCACTTGTAAAACTGAAATGTTCCAGCTAGCATCTAGATAGTAGGGGTCGAAAAAAAAAAATGCCACTGTCAACAGTTCAAAAACTCCAAACTACAATTAAATGCAATTAAGCATGATGTCAATGGTGCTGGGAAACCCCGACTGGGATGCTCTGCCTGAGTTCTACAGAGTTTTCTGTGAAAACCTATAGAGAAGAACAATCATGATTCCTTTACATAAACTCTCTGGTAATGCACTATTTTTAGTGGAGAAAAGATAGGCCAAAGCAGCACCGTCCACAGCTTTCAGAGCATACCCATGTGGAGCTCAGAAAGTGCTGCCAAGTGCTTTTAAATTCTTATTTCCTTTGCTCTTGGCACAGGGTTTCATGAAGCACAGGCTGACCCGGAAGTCACTACATAGTTGAGGGTGACTTTGAACTGTTGACGACCCCACCACCTCCATCTCCGGGTGCTAGGATTATGAGCACACACTGCCGACGACCCCACCACCTCCATCTCCGGGTGCTAGGATTATGAGCACACACTGCCATGCGTGGCTTCCCCGCACGCTTTTTAGATAGAGATTTCATGGCCCTATCAAACGAGTTTTCTCATATTCAGTTACCCCCAAAGATTCTCACAAAGCCAGTTTGTGAAAATTACTCAGTCAATGAAGTAGCCATCTTGTCATTGAGATCTACAAAAATCAGAGTTATTTGCATGTGACTTGGAAACAAAGATCTAAGATGTGAACGCTAAACCGTGTGCCCATTCCATGAAGCTCTTTAAATGGTCTCCTGTGCCAAGTTGTCTACAGTTTTCTGTATTTACAGTAGTTTTAGCTTTAACTGAACCCAAACACTAAAGTACCCCATGCTCTGCGTGCCACCAATTCCCACAAAATGTAAAACACCAACCTGTGCCATGACTTTACAAAGCCACTTGGGTTCCACAAAATACAAATCACTCAACTGCAGTGCTGGGTCTTGAAAATGAAGAAGGACTCCTGCAGAAAAATTCATCAGTCAGTGAGATGTGGGATCTCGAACGTCTAAACATCTGGGAGCTTCCGACACACTAATGCACCTGCGTCACCTCACAGTGGAGGAGGGGCCCTGAGGTGCTACGCATCCTGTCCTCAGCTCTAAAGACTCAAAGGTATAAAAAGGAGGGTTTTTGAGCTATATGATTTGATTATATTAAGCATACTTGAGATGCTGGCAAATACAAATAAATACAAAGTCATAATTTACTTTTTAACTTTTATATGTATAACACAATGGCACATTTTATTTTCAATACAAATAAGAAACTAAACATATCTGTTTTAAGAATCATGGGAAAAGGGAATCCTGAATTTATTTTTCATACAACAGAATACAGGGATCATAAACAGTTTCCTGGCCACCTACTCTGCTACTACAGATAGGCTCACATTTCCAGGAAGTTCACACTGAAGGACAGCAGCATGGCCTCTATGGTGCTGTGGGCTGCAGTTTCACGGTGTGACCGAGGTATGAGTAACAGAGCAAGATTGGCCACCCAGCAACACTTCGTGTCAAAAAGCCCTTGATCGTCCAAGGCGGCCCAGTTGAAAACGCTGCAATAGTAATTCGTTTTTACAGTATGAAAATAACTTTCATATAAAAATGTGATGCTATGAAAGAGCACAGCTGTGCTGGGGGCTCAGAGTCTCCTATACAGCAAAACCACGTCCAGAACCCTAGTCCTTCATGCTTTGTCCTTGGATGATTTCTAAGTTGATTTTCTTAGGACCTGATGTTTCAACTCAACATTAATATATACAATGATCTTATGAAAGAGAAAAAAAATCAGTGGCCTGTTTAAGAATTGTTTTGACATTCTCATACATTCTGAACATAGATGATCCACAAGATTCAGGCACCTTTCAAATGCCATAATCTGGAGCACAGAGCAAACACACACAAACCTGACTCGTTTAAGAAGTGAACCGCCTGGGGAAGCTCGTTTTCATCCAGCTGCAGCTGGTTTCCCTTCACTAGCTGTAACAGGCGTTTCTGGTCAATCACAGGAAATTCAATTGGCACAGTTCTTCGCTCTGATAAGATGATTTTCTCCAGTTCGAGGTAGCAGTCTGGGATTAGCTGCCCGACAACAGGCTGATCCCGAATCTGTGAAATTGCAAATGACAAGCTGTGAAAATCTACTTAACGTCTGCTTTGTCAGATGGTGCATCCAGCCATAGCAATCTTCACAGAATGAATGTTTTTAAAGAAAATTGAAACATGTTGTAAAGCTTATCCAAATGGTAATGAATCAAAGATGAAATTAAAGAGAATTACGGACACAAAGCAAATTTGTAAAGTAACTTCTAATAAAATAGCGTGGTACTATTTGTCTAATTATTTAGAAATTCCATTTTTTAAAACAGACAAAACACTGACAGTAAAAGAATGATTTTATAAGGCTGGGCATAGCGGAACATACCTTTAAATCCCAGCACTTTGGAGGCCAAGACAAAGGGATCTCTGCGAGATCAAAGCCAGTCTGGACTACATCACTGTGCATTCCAGGCCAGTAGGGGCTACAGGGAGACCCTGTCTCAAAAAAAGACTATGACATTATATTTGAAGCACTGGGCCTGTGTACAGAAGACAGGTGGGCTTAAGACATCCATCCTTGCCACCAGAGCTTTGGAACGTTTCTTTGTTAGATAAAAATACATCCAGAAGTCAAATATCAAAATTTTCCCTTGTTCCTTAGACAACATCAGGTGGGCAGACTGTAAATATCAAGAGTCAAACCTGGAGATGTGAGATCTTCTAACCAACCTTGAACTTGGGAAATGAGAACGTGTCTAACCTCCGATAGTCCTGTCCCAGACCCGAGAAATCACTTTGCTGCACTAGCTGAGAAACATAAAAAGTGTAACTTTCAAAGACTTGTCTTAACATAACAGTTTCCATAATAGACATAGTTTCCAAATTTTGAAATTGAAAATTCTAATTTTAGAGAGAAATGCACCTGCAGCAATAGTAACTGAAATACCTCTGAGAACCACGAGGGGGCGAACTCTCCCCGTGTCTGGATCCCAGTGACTCTCATTGGTTCCATCTATCAGAATTTCTGTTTAAATTCTTAACATATTTATCACACACAGAAACTGGGTCTTTCCTAGCACACAAAATCACAAAAACGTCACTTTTCTGGACTGTACATAGAACATTAAGGAACCTGATTTTTAGCACCTATAACCAATAGGTGCAGCAAATAGTCGTTCAAAAAAATGGTTTGTATATGCCTTGTCCTAGGAAACAATACATAATTCTACTAATCTTCGTGTGCTTTTCTTCACTATTTATAAATTAAGATGAACTAGAACTTCAATTTGAAGTTTATGTTTTAACCCAAGAAATAAAGAAATAAATGAATGTTTCCCAAAAAGCAAACCAAATAAAAGGGGAAGACTTTTGTAGGCCGGGTCACAAGGCCACAGGAGGATGTCTGCTCTGATAACGGGCTGGAAAGTAGCACAGGTGCAGGGTTCCCACTATTCTGTCCGCCTTCATCGTTCACCTTCATTATGGGAACACTGCGAGACTGAGGAGGAAGAAAAAGAAAACTTCCAAAGAGCACAGACACGTGTGCATAAAAGCAAGGAAAGACTGGAAATGCGCTAAGACAGAGGGAAATGATAAATGAGGGGGAGAGAACCGAAGAGCTCAGCTCTCTAAGAGATTGAATGCTGTTCTGAATGGGTTGCGGCCTTCAGGAGATGGCGTTTTACCCTAACAAGGCATCTGAAAGAATCCCAGAAGCAGTGCAGTGGCCTCTGTAATCAATACGTGTTCCTTTACCCAATGTTACCATGTGTGAAGCATTTGTTTTACTGCCTTGTATAGAGCTGTCATCAAAGTTCATCTGTAAGGACCTGTCCCATTGGCTGACAGTGATATCTTCCTAGTATCCAAAAGCAGCATTAGCCCATCTTAAAAGACCTGCCTTACCTACAGGCTTGGCTCCAACTAAATTCAAGCTTTTTCCAAACACATTCCTCTTCCAAAATATCTGCTATATGCTTTTGGCATATATGCTTTTGGCAGCAATAGGAAGAGGAAAAACTTAAATATCCCAATTGTCAAAGAAATTCTTTAGGTACAGGTACAGTCACAGAAGTTGATTAATAAACAAGTTAACTGAGTAACTTTTGCATATTTGTAATTAAAGAAATCACATTACCCCAATCATAAGTTCCACAGGAGAGTAAAAGAGAAGAAAGCTTTAAATACACGAGACTATTCTTCTTACGTAAATATCAACAGCAATCAGGAAAACATTTTAGTAACCATTAAATGTGGGTTGAAACAAATTCTCTCCCAGGCACTGTGAAGACCAAAAAATTATGAATGGTTCATTAGGCTTCAGACAGGAGCATGATCTGTGGAAATGGGGCAGAGCTTAGCTAACTGGTCAATATGGAGTTATAACCAGAGTGAGCTTATCATTTTTCATGAAGTACTTTTGAGATGCAGTGGGGCCCGGGGAGTAATTACCCGGGGGGCTGCCCAGGCCAAACAGGACTCTGGTCACATTCTATGATCTCCTTAGAGCTAAGCCAACAGAGATTCACCATGGCCCTTACCACACTGAACAACCACCCAGAGCATTTTCCAGCAGATGAAACTATCATCCCCTCAGGGCCTAAGGAAGATTTCTTTCTCCCACAAGTATTTAAAAAGAGTATTGTTGCTGGTGACCTATTTATTCAAGTTTTAGAAACATTAGGCTTACCAAAGAGAACTTTAGGAATTTAAAACATGTCTTAAAATGAAAACCTAGTTTGTATGAATTGAGTAATTATTTAAATGTGGCTGAAAGCCAATCTGTGGTCTTGATGACTGAAGAGCTGACTCACAACTCTGAGAGATAAACATAGGAATGGAAGCCACAGGAGAAGAGACATGAAGGAGCCGAGCAGACGCAAGGAGCACAGAAACTCCAGCAGACAGTGTCACAGACCAGCAGGAGCCAACACACTGACCCAGACTCCACCTCACTTCCCCTCTGGACGGGTGGGGCAACGGGCAGATTGGCTTAGTATCCTGGGAGCATTCTCTCAGCTCTTTCCAGGATTCCCTAGTTATATTTGTTCCCACGTCTACGAATTATAAATGAGGCATGTTTGATAAATAATATAAATAAAAGTACTTTGACCCCACAATTTTAAGATAATCGCATTCTTAAGATTTCTGACATCTCCAAGCAGTGGCATAATGTGAGAACGAACAAATTGCGTTTATCCATCAGCCTGCAAGAGACACACACTACCGCACCTTGAAATTAAGACTCTCATTTACGATGGTTTTCCGAAGTTTTGCCAAAGCATCAGACTCCTCAGTGGCGTTCACAAAGTGGTAATCCCGGATGGCAGGGAATCCTCGCTTGTTCAAGAGCTCCTTGGTGATTTTACTTATGCAGGCTTTGCGCTGCTTCTCATCAGAAACATCCAGATGTGTACCCACGAGAATCACGGGGGAAGAAGAAGCACGGGCCTATGGGACAGACACAGAATACTTTGCATTTGAATAAAAATCCTATCTGTTCCATCTGCTGAAATTCACTTTCTTTGAAATTCAGCAGCTCAGTGCCAAAAGACTCAAAGACTTAGGAGCAACAAAATAACTGTCCTTTCTTCTGCTGGGCTCACAGTCTTCCAAAGGACTCATGTTGGGACTCAACACCGTGATGCAGACTTTGTGAGCGGGTTACGTCACAAGGACGGAGCCCTGAGGGACAGACTGAGGTAGCCATCACGGGAGTGCATTTCTGGTGAAGATAAGTTAGGGCCCCTCCCCTTACTGTCTCTCTGGGGCGTGTCTACTCCTGCCCTTACACCTTCCCTGTGGGCTGACACAGCAGAAAGGGCCTCACAGAGGGGAGCCCCTATATCCTGGAGTTCTGGGTTCCAGAACCAAGAGAGGGAAATCTCTGTACTTTATGAAACACCCAGGCACAACAGCATACAGTGATCAAGACATTTCTTAAACCTAAAAAGCAATAACCTTAGAAACTTTAAGATACTAGTTATGCCCTTAATCCAATTCTTACCACTTTTCCGGCTGCCTATATAACAGTGGTAGAGTAACTTTTCTTTTTTATTTTGACATCTGTTTAAAGTAGTTCATTTGTCATCTGCTTTCTAAGCATTCAATAAACCTCCGAGCTACAGCAAAGTAACACAGAACTATTTACATCTTCCTTTACTTATCTGTGAACTTTAGCTCCCAAATTCACTATAAATCATTGAATTTGGTCTATGCCAAGAAAGAAAAAAAGCTGCAAAAGCAAATCTTACTGCACCGTAATGTTTGCTCACACTGCTACATGTGTAAGCAATAACAAAGTCAAGGAGAAATGCTTCAGAAATCATCCAAATTACCAAACAAGATGTGCACCATCAAATTATGTAGCGAAACGTTTGACACAACCCTTCCTAAGGACTTCACTCATGGAAGATTTCCCTGGTGCCACATGTGGTGAGCAGGTACGTGAAATCTTACCTCAAAAGGTCATATTATTTAGAGGAGTAGTTGACAGCTGGAGAGCAAGAACAAAGTAAAGAAATAACAAAAAGGAGACATTGAAGAGAGGAGCCTCACAATCTGGGCCATGTGCACAGCAAGATCTGAAGGACTTCTTACTAGAAGGTCACTGAGATGTGGCAAAGATGGCCAGAGTTTGTTATAGATCAGTTTTAATTGGGGAAGTTGATATTACACTTAAAAACAGAATATGAGCAAAACCAGTTGTGCATATGTGCCTTCAGATTTTACAGCATAAAAGGATTTCAGAAACTGGAAATACTCAGCACCCCGGGACAAGTTACTTCTGTGGAAGAACCCTGTCGCTCTAAAGATTGCCCAATCTGAAAGCTGAGCACTTCTAACCTAAAAAAAAGTATTCTAAGAAGAGAGAAACTGTAGGAATAAATTTTGCAATGGAGCATAATCCAGCCTAAAGACTTTTACCTAAACTTGCAATCAGAAAGTTACTGTTCGTAATATAAACATGCTCACAGATGGTTATCTGCAACTCTTATGACCTGGGCATGTGACCTTAATCCCTCGGGATCCACTTTGCCTTCCACCCAAAATAGAGGCTTAATTTATGTATGAATGTTTTACAAATCAGAGTGCAGAAAGAGGCATGCTTTTCTCATTCAAACAATGACAGAAATCTGTGTGTAATTGTATGAGCTAGTTTAAGTCTAGGGACTTCAAGGACAAGATTCTCTGATAAGGCTGGGTCCTGACTTCTACTTCCCCGTTTCATGCTGGAGTTGCTGTTTCAATACAGAATGAGTGACGTCTGGCTCCGGAGCACAAGAGACATCTGAAGGAACAGGTATGTGGCAGTGCTCCACTCTTGGCCTTATGAATGCTAGAGTCAAGTTGTGCCTTTACTCACGCATAACCATCATGTGGCACAGAAAGGTCACATTGTGGGACCTGCTGTGAGGAAGAGGCTCTCTACTCTGAACTCACAGATCAATGGCCAGAAAAGTCGCAAAGAAAAGGGGACATATCGGACTTCACAGTCATACATTGTTACTTGTATGACATCGAGCCCAAGGCTTTCTTGATAGCTTGTGCAAGAGCACCAATTCGTGGATCAGCAACTGGGAAAGTCATGAGGAAAAAGGGAATTGTTGGAAGTTCCCTATCAAACAGGAGGATAAGACAGACAGACAGACAGACAGACAGACAGACAGACAGACAGACATCACAAGGCTTTCTTCATACCTTGCATCGAAACACTTTACTTTTTGCTTTTACCTCCTTCTTTTCCAGGTCCAATCTAGAAGGAACTATGCCAAACATTTCACTTTCATCTTCACCTCTCCACACTCCCAGTGGGGATTTCTTTATCTCCTGACTCAAGCACATTCATTCAACTAATGAATTTACTTAAAGGAACTGGAACTAAAGCATCATCAAAGCAAATCTGTGAACCTTTAAATGTTATTCAGAAATAATTTCCCTAGTATTCCAACCATAGAACATTTAATTCAGAATCTTATGGAAAAAAACTAGGGACCAGTTGAGCTGCTCCTTAGAAACTGTTCAACTGAAGCATTTAACTCATTGGAACCAAATAAGTAGATATACAGTTTTCTCAAGGGAAAAAAAAAAAGGAATACTTCCAAAGAAACTGCCACTTTCTGGACATCCTCCACCTGATTCTTTTGCCTCCCATGGTGCTCCCTTCCCTAGGACAAAAGGCAGTGAAGAAATGAGTTTAGAATAGTAGTGTACCCGGCTTGGTAACTACAGAGTCTGATAACGCCAGCCCTGCATTTTCAAGCCTGTTTTTCTCTGAGATAGAATATCTTTTCCCTCCTCAAAACTCTTTTACTGTCTGCTTGTTTTGTTTCTGTGCTATCATGCTGGAATTCATTTTCCAGTTAAAATGACAGGGGTAGGTTAAAGAGAGAAACATTTGGATAATTTTCTTTTTTCCAAGTTCTTTCATCTGTTACTATTTTCTGTGTTCTCAGTTCTCCAAATTCTGAATACCTAACCCAGGATTACATGTAGCAAATTGTAATGTGGTTTTGCTAATGCAGATAGCCAAACTGCTATTCTTCTCTAAAAGAATTCACACTTGCCTACAAATTATAAATTAAAAAGGAAAAAAGGTCAAGAGGAGGGATTAAGGGATATGTATTAAAATTTTAACCCATAAGGGAGCCAACATGCTCCTTAACTTATAATCATTATTAGAAGTTGGGTGACAACTGTAATATATGTAAGGCCAATATTTACTTCTGTTATGAATAGTGGGTCATGCACAGACAGGATCAGTTGATGAATAAGTTGATTAACGTTAAAAGGTATTGAGAGAGCCACAAGGGCAAACGTGAGTAATCTGAATAGTCTCTACCTTCTTTATCATTGCTAATGAAGAAAGATGAGATACAGGAAAACTCAGGTCTTCTCAGAGTGTAAAGCATCTAAGTCTGACAAGGCCTCTTTCCTCATGGTTGCTCATGAAGGAAGGAAAAAAGGGTGCTCTGGAGAACAAATTACAGAAGGCTACAAGGCACCCCTAGTCTGTATCTATTTGACCTAAATCTCCAAAAAAAGGAAAAAAAATTCTAATGTTTTTCTGCATTCAAGCCTGGCCTTAGGTAGGCGAGAATAAAAAGCGGCGATACATAAGTTTCTTAGATTGTACACCTCCATTTACAGACACAGGCTAGCTAACTGTGGACAGAGGCTTTCAAACACTGGTCACTCCAAATACATGCAGGGAGAAACTCAAGTCAGGAAGTAATGAAATCGGATCTATGTGTTGCTTGACTCTCCTTGATGATGAGTGCTAACTGCCACATACTCGCGATCTTATAAAACGTAAAGATGTCAGGGAATGACTCTTCAAAATCAAATATTCTGACTTTTGTCACTTCTGATTCCTGATTCAAGACCCAATAGACTCAATTTTAGAGAGAAACAAAAACCTTTTTGTATACCGATAAATTGTCATATATTGTTTAGCTCACTGAGAAGCTGCCTCTGGAGATGGGATTCAGCCCTCCCAATTCAGATCTAAGTGTGTTCATCTAAAAATGTCCTCTTAAACTACTGAGAAAGGTTTGGCTCTCAACTCAGTGGCCAAAAGGAGGACAATATAGCAGGTTGATAGAAAGGCATTATGTCCTTTAGAACAGCTAAGGGATAAAACATTTCTAAATGAAATGTTTAACCTCTAAAGGAGGTTACTATTACTTATCTTGTGATATAAAGATATTTATAGTAAAAGCAGCTTAAGAGATGCTCTTTTGCCACTAAAAATATGCTTGGGTGGGGACCTCTCACTAAAGCGTCAGTCCCTCAGGCTATAGGAGAATCAGAGCCACCCTTGAGCTTGCCTCACCCTAAAATGATAAAAGAGGCAGGCCAACTCCCTCTTTAGCCCTAGGGTAATAGGTAATTTGCTTTTTAGATACAATAGAAAAAAATTTAAACTCCAGAAACAGAGGAACACCGTTAAAAATATTTTGGTTTAATCTTAGGTAATTCAAATTGACCTATAAAAAATTTTCCTTGCCCAGATGTTATTGATTCAAACCACTTGATTAAACACTTATCATGGTTTATTCTCAGCTACACCAAGATTCTGGCTTTAACTTATTGGTGCAATTGATTTATTGTTCACACTGGTGGAATCAAACATTTGTTTATCCCCAAAAGCTTATGAGAAGTGACTAGACATTGCCTAGTACCCCTCATCAAGGAAGTTCTCACAATAGAAGATAAATTTATTTGTTAATAAATGTCTCATGGTATTAAGATAATCAAAAAGAAAAGGTTATAAAGATGTAAGAATGGAAATATTTTTTAGTAAAGGATTTATTCTGAAGACTAAGAATGTTGGATGTTTCTAGAATGACAAAGTAAAAAAATGGTGTGTGTTATGAAGGAAAATTGGATTAAGGTATTTTAGATACATAAGAGATGATACTTAAATATCCTCTAATTAAATCAATGAAGTTGTTGATCTAATCTTGTTATTACACAGATTGACTTTAAAATCAAAATATATATCTAATCAAGGTTTATTTAAATGTTCATAGTACTTGACAGTACCAGACTGGTGTAACTGATTTTCTGGGTGTTCAATAACCATACCTGAAATTCACTATCCTTCTGTAGTTCATCAAAACTACCATATTATTATTATTGATTTGATTCATTCACTTCTTTTTTCATTAAGCCTCATAAGTTAGAACTGTCTGTTCCAAAAGGATAACCTTACATTTTTTCAACAGCTTTTAGGCTGCATCAATTAGCTTCAACCTTGCCTCAGAATTTGCATTGCATCTTTTTCTCAAATTTTTGCTTCTCTTAAAAGAGACACTAATTTAAATTCACACTATCCCATTGTGATGCCCGGCTATTATGTTACAGCAGTTACAGCTAGGAGCTGAATTTAGAAAACAGACAGCCTTCATAGATCCTTAGGTTTATCTTTGTATTTATTTGTGAAACTTCTCTTTCCATTACAGAATTTTAGAATGGTTATTTATGCCCAATACCTCAGTGAAAAATATTTGTATCCCAAATCAACAAAGAATTATTTATTCTTATTCAACAGGACCAAACCAGAACCATCCAACTTAATAGACAAGATCCTGATGCTATTTATCTGTCCATATCTGAAGACAACTTCCACTTTCTTTTACAGATCTCAGAAGAATGGTATGTTACTTCTGCTGGTTTTTTAGGACAGGCTTCCTTTCCCTCTATGTGGAGTTCCATTCCTCCCTAAATCACTAACACTCTTTTCAGATGGAGACAATAATCAGGAGAAGGAACCATTATGTGGTCCTGGACTATAACACTCTCCTGTAACTTCTAGAGCAACCATCACCCAGTGAGAACTTATAGATGTTCCTTCTGCTTTTCAAAAAAATTCCCTTATTAACCCTTCGATTTAATAACGGATTGAGCTCACTATGTGGCTCAAGCTATCCCATTAGTTTCAAGACATGTTGACTCATTCATCAGACTCCTTTTTATTCAAAATATTTACCTCTATTTAAAGTCTTTTTCATAAGTGAACTCATCCTGCCTATAAGAATAACCTGGTTCCCTCACAGGAGGGCACTGATGTGCTAACTGCCTAGTTATATATTTTCAATTATCAGAGGTATAAACCAACAAATTATCCTGTTCTGTTCTGACTGTTCATTGGTGAGCCCCACCATTTCCAGAGAAATTACCCCTAGGTATTCATCCTAACAAACTTTTGGAAATGGAAGTAATTCACATAAATTACTTTGGTCATTTTATATTTGCTTATGAATGTGCTGATACTTTTCAAGGCTTTAATTTTGCTAATGCTTAAAGATATGAATCTGCCTGAGCGGTCTAAAAACAATCATTAACTACTTTTTCTGTAAAGGGGGTCACAAAAGAAATCAATACAAACAATTGTTCCACTTTGTTTTATTTTTGTTGTTTTTCTTTTATTTTTATTTATTTATTATTATTTTGGGGGGGGTCTTTTTGAGACAGGATCTCCCTGTAGCCCCTGCTGTCCTGGAACTCACTACGTAGACCAGGCTGGCCTTGAACTCACAGAGATCTACCTGCCTCTCTCTGCCTCCCTGAGTGCTGGGATTAAAGGCCTGCTCCACCACACCCGGCAACTGTTCTACTTTGTATCTAAAACTTTTATCTCCTTTTTGCTAACTCTGACAAGTCTGTGCCTCTACCTATATTACCCCAAGTACCAACCATAATTAAACTAATTCATGTGTTATTTAAGTTAAATGAACAAAAAGGAGGAATAAAGGGTAATTGCTCAGAAATAAATTGTTAAAACAAATTATACTTTAAATCTTTTAAAAACAACTTATATTTTAATTTTTTTCATTGTTTCAATTTTGTCCCCTATGATGAAAAAGCTCCTCCTTAAGTAACAAGAAGTTTTACCAAAACCCATGGTTTTATATAAGGGCCAACTAATGGATGGATTCCCTTCCTCTCGTTAACCAGAGCCAAAACTCCACACCTGTGCTTTCTCCAACAGTGCTCTCTGGATGGTGTAGTGACTGGTAAAGCTGCACCAGAAGGCAACATCCCGGCAACAGAAAAGGTGAGGGAAACGTAGGAGCAGCTTTTGGGATATGGACATAATCTGGCCTAAAGACTTATGTAACCTTGCAACCAGATAGTTACCACCGTTTATAATGTAAACATGCTCACTCAGCCTTTTACGACTTGGACATGTGACCTTAATTCCAGAGGACCCCAGGATGACTGAATTTACGTATGAATGGTTTGCATATCAAAGCACAGAATGCGGGATGTTTTTCTGATGGCAAACAAAGACAGAAATCTGTGTGTAGTTGTGGGTGATAGTCTAAGCCTAGGGCTCAAAGGGCAAGATTCTCTGATAAGGGTAGGTACTGACTTCCACTTCTTCATTTCATGCTGGAGATGCTGTTTCAGTAAAGGAATGAGCAATGTCCTAGTTCGGGAGCACTGCTCCAAGAGACATCAGAAGGAATGGATGCTCAGCAGTTTGGCTTGCTTTGCCTTATGAATGCTCAGATAGGCTAGTTCTTTATTCAGGCATAACCATAATGTGGCAAAGAAAGGCTGCAACTGTTTGCCAAATAAATTACTTTAAACATGGATATGGAAAACAGAATTTATAATATGATAATTTTTATGCTCCATTTCCTTATGATTAGAAGAGATAACCTTGATATTGAAGAGCCAGGGCTTCATGGCGTCCACTTCTGCCTGCCCTTTGCTCAGGTCATAGACAGCGAGGTACAGAGCTCTCTGGGTCATGAAGTGGGGATGTGTGCTGTAGAACTCCTCACGACCTGAAAAAAAATGTCAGAGGTTTGCAGTCTTCAATGGAATAAGCAAGATTCATTTTAAGAAAGCATGCAGACTGTCACATACTTAAAAGAAAAACAATCAACAGACAATATTCATATTGAGAGGTGACCCTGTGGTTGTGTCAGTTGTAGACTGACAACTTTCAGCATTTTTATCGCTGCCCACCATGCAGTTAGTGTCAGAGTCCTATGCTGATCTCCAGCCTTTCTTTTCCTGTTCTTGCCTTCTCTGGTGACAAGGACAGAATCAGCACGTAATGGCTTTGGAGGAACTTCATAGGATCTGTTCTTTGATACATTTGACCAGAAAACTCAATTTTAAAATCGCTATTCTAAATAAAAGGCAAAAATAATGACATAAATACCTAGAGAAACAAATACCTGCAAAGTCCCACACGTTTAGAACGAGGTCTTTCTTCTTTTTGCCTCTGATTTGGATAGGCCAGTCTTTCACATCGATGCCAACCGTGGCCCCCTGCATGCTAAGATCTGATTTCTTCATTTTCATTAACTGCTGAAGTAACGTGGTTTTACCACTTCCAGTATTACCCACAATCATAAGCTTCATCCTGTTGTAGGGCACAGCCTTTTTCAAACGTTGTTGAAGAAACCTGGTATTTGAAAGATAAAAACAAACAAGCTGCCTTAAGAGTGCACTGGGACTCGTGGGAGTTGTTCTGCAGTGAATACTTAAGTATGCAAAAGACCGCAAAGGTCATAAACTAACAAAGTCGCGCCTTTCGATGTACTATTGGCACATGCATTTTCAAAGCAATAATTTAGTAATTTCAAAGCAATCAATATTTTGTAGCATTGCCAAATGTAGCCTGACCACCAGAAATAAACAAAATGCCAAAATTCATTTGCAATGCTGATCAGAATGCAATGTATATACACAGACATATATACAAATGCTCATATATGTGTCTCAGTTTGTTTATAGCACAAGTAAAACTCTAAAAATTTTAAAATATAAAATTTTACAGTGGGGTTACAATGTCATAGAATCAAAGAAGAGAGAAACAACAAAGCCTATTATAGCCAAAGTTTGATAATGAGGTAATATTGGTTATTTTATATGTGAGTGTATATATACATTCATATAGGGTATATGAAATATAAAGACATATTTTATGTATTCACATATGATGTATGTGATATAGAGATACATTCACACATATTCACATATTGTGTATATGAATAGAAAGATAAATATTTGATCATTTTAAATATATAACTTATTACATTATCAATAAATATTAACATGTTATCTTGAGTAAACTTAATGAAAAAATAATTGAAATTAATTATTAGAAATGCTAGATGCTCAAACAAAACTGATATTCAAACAACAGAGTAAAGATATGTGTTGTTTTTAAATATTTATTATTTTTATTTTATGTGTATGCATTTATTGCCAGCAACGTATGTAAGTGCACCCATGTCATGCAATGCCTGTGGAGGACAGAAGAGGGTGCTCAATCCTGTGAAACTGGAGTTATAGACAGTTGTTAGCTGCCATGTGGGTACTAGGATTCAAACCCTGGTTATCTGCAAGAACAACCAGTGTCCTTAACTGCAGAGACATTTCTCCAGCCCCCAGATTTAAAATGTTTTGAAAACTTAGAGAAAAGCACAGAGAAAGTCACAGAGAAAAGCAAACTAGAGGCTGGAGAAATGTCTCAGTGGTTAAGAGCACTGGCTGCTCTTGTAGAGGATCTGGGTTCGATTTCCAGCACCCACATGGTGGCTAACAACCATGTATAACTCCAGTTCTAAGGGATCTGACACCTTCTTCTGACCTCCACAGGCACTGCACGACATGGGTACCCTTACATACATACAGGCAAAACACTCATGGAAATAAAGTAAAAATAATAACATTTTTTTAAAAAAGAAAAAGCAAACTAAATTATACAAAACCTTTAAGGAGTATTGATAATCCATGCCAACAGCAGGAATCTGAGCAACGTTCCTGATCATATGATGAAAAGGAAACATTAGTGACAGGAAAGATAGCTAAAGTGCTTGCTTGTGTGAGGACCAGAGTTAGGATCCTCAGCACCCACAGAAAAGCCAGGCCAGGTGTGGCAACCTGCCTGTAATCCCAGCCTTGAGGAAGCAGAGCCAGGGTCTCCCGGGCAAGTACCTAGCTCCAAGTTCATCAAGAGACCCTGTCTCAGGAAATAAGGTGGGGGCAGTCAGGGTGGAGTGATGTAGGAAGACACATGACATCAACCTGTGGGTGACAGGTATTCTCTCCACATTATCTGGGCTACAAGGAATGGGGAAAAAAAAAAAAAACCTCTGCTCAGGCTACAAATAAACTCATTTGTTAAATGAAAAACTAGTGGAACACACAATACTGTTAAATAGTACAGTTCAGTTTCCCTAAAACTGTAACTCTATACCCATCAAAATCACACACAAGAAAACTGAAGCAAATTTACCCAAGACAAATGGAGATAAAGTTGGCTAACCTTATGATGTCTTTGGCTTTACATCCTACATGCTTGAAGTCAAAACTCAGATGCAACTCATCCAAGGGAAGATCCCATATTTTGCTTAATTTCCCCATTTCGTTGGGAAAAGATCTCAGTTCCGAGTTGTGACTAACATCAAGAGATGTCAGATTTTCAAGAAAGCCAATCTCAGGTGGAATCTTAATGAAATAAAAAAGGGTAAAGCCTGTTGTTAGGGAGGAAGAAATGTGCACAGCCAGGAAATAAAGCGTTAGGGAATAAGAAAGGCTCTGACATCTCATCAGCAACCTGTACGACTGTTCAACAAAGTGGAGAGTTTTCCAAAACCGTGTCCTAAGTTTGCAGCATACATGCTTTAAAACAAGCAAAAATATGTAAAGAACTTACCTCCAATCTATGAATCATTCACAACTTTATTACATTTTTAAAATGTATTTACTGTGTGTATGCATGTGCACACGTGTGTGTGTGTGTGTGTGTGTGTGTGTGTGTGTGTGTGTGGAGGTCGGAGGACAATTTGCAGGAGGTTGTTCTCTCCTTCCTGGGTGTGGTGGTTGGAACGACAACATCCCCCACTGGCTCCAAGTATTCGGACATTTCGCCCTCGGTTGGTGCTGCTGTTCCCGGAGGTTTAGGAGGTGTGGCCTTGCTGAAGGAAGCACCGGGGATGCTGCACCTGCTTGAGAGGTGAGCTCTCAGCTTTCTGCCCTGGCTGCCTCCTGCCATGCCTACCCTATCATGAAGGATTCTCATCTCTCAGGAACCATAAGCCAAATAAATTCTTCCTTCTGTAAATTGCCTTGGTCATGGTGGTTTACCACAGCAACCAAAAAGTAGTTGATTCACTAGGGGTGGAACTCAGGTTGCATGGCTTGGCAGCTAACACTTTTACCTGCTGAGCCATGTACCTGGCCAGGTTTATAACTTTAAAAACCCAGTTTCCAGCAGGGGATGGTGGCACACGCCTTTAATCCCAGCACTCGGGAGGCAGAGACAGGCGGATCTCTGTGAGTTCAGGGCCAGCCTGGTCTACATAGTGAGTTCCAGGACAGCTGGGGCTACAGGGAGACCCTGTCTCAAAAAGACCAAAAAAACAAAACAACAACAACAAAAAGCCCAGTTTCCTTTGGTAATATACTTCATCTCCTCACAACATTGAAAATGAGTTCTTTGTAGTTACTGAACTGGCTCATTTTGTTCAGAGCCATTTCAGCAGCAACTTTGCTCCACACCAAAAGGAAAAAGGGGGCAACCTTGGGCCTTGGAAAATTGCCCTTGCCATGAATCACGGAATGTGATAATTCCAGACATTATACATTTTTACTAACCAGCTTGTTTTCACTTCTGTAACCTGCTTGCTGTCTTGGGTCACCCTGACATAGGGCACAAGACCACCCTTGTTATCTTGTTATTGTATGACCACCTAGAAGTTATTTACCTTGACTGTCTTATTTTACTTGTTATGGCTAAAGCAGTTGGCTAGTTTTAATGTCACATGAGTGCCAAGTTATATGACTGTATCACTTGACTGTATAATGATTGGTTGTTGATTAATAGAGTCAAAGTTCTGCTATGTTGTACAAACCTGATTGGTTTACAAGTGTCCTGTTTGAATAATAATTCTGTAATCCTATAAAAACTCTGACCCGACAATCATCAGGGCTGCTTCTACTCCCAAGATAGACAGCCCGGCCAGTCGAAAATTAAAATTTACCTTGCTACTTTTCTTAAAGTGGTGTTGGTGATTTTTTTACGAACTCTGTCCTATAACAGTTACCTACACCATCATCTGTGGTTCCCTGTGTTCTTTCACGCTACGTATGTTCTTTAGTAAACCACAGGCTATCAAAGTTATAACCATCACAAACCACTGAATGTTTATGCCTTCAGTGCCAGCCTAATCAAAGTGGTTTCATTTTCTATTCCAATTATTTCTTTCAGACATCACCAGGCATTGAACCAGGCTCACGCAAGCTAGGTAAGTACTGTTTCCAAGACCTCCATCGACGGTTTTTAAGCCAGTTATATATAGTAGACTATCAGTTAACCTTCATTTGTTGACAAAAAAAAAAAAATGTACCAATAATATCCAGTAATCCTGAACTTCTAACTAGCAGACTTTTAACAGTTTTTTTTTTAAATAAGCAAAAAGCTGGACCATCACAAGAAAAATATTTTCTTACATGTGTAAGTAATCAGTTTCAGATCTATAACATCAATGATGAATCAAAACAAAGGAGGTTGACTCATTTAGGTGAGGGATCACACAGTGGAGGGAGGCATACACCTAAGAATGTGAATGTGCAGGTTGGTCTCTGAGAACTTGACACAAACTAGCAACACCTGGGAAGAGGAAACCTCAGCTGAGGAATTCCCTCCATCAGGTGGCCTGTGGACATGTTTGTGGGGCGTTTTTGTGATTGCTGGTTGATGTAGGAGGGTCCAGTCCACTGTGGGCAGTGCCGTCCCATAGACAAGTGGGCCTGGATGTGCAGGAAAGGTAATTGAGCATGAGACAAAGAGTGAACCAGTAAGCAGCGTTCCCCTATGATCTCTGCCTGAGTTCCTACCTCCAGGCTCCTGCCTTGAGTTCCTGCCCTGACTTCACCTAGTGATGGATTGTGATCTGGGGGTTGTAAGGTAAAATAAGCCCTTTCCTCCCCCAAGTTGATTTTGGTCAATGTTTTATCACAGCAACAGAAACCAAACAAGGACAGTGGAAAGAAAGAAGAAAAACAGGCAATGTACATTCCAGTGAGGATGAGAAATAGAAATGATCTCAGATTGTCACCAGGTCAGAGGCGGTGGCACAGGATAGGCTACAGCATTATATGCATTCACATACACATGCGAATAATCCTTTTAAAATATAGTGTGAGTGTTTTGAGCTTGTTGGTTTGTTTATTGGAAATTAAGCTTTTACTATACCCACTTAGTATGAAGTAGGCTCATGTCTTATTTACAAAATAAGAAATATAAACTAACCGATTTCAAAATAATAGTCTGTGATAATACATATGAAACATATTTTCAAATTGGTCATAACTTTAAGCACATAAAGACCTCTTACCTCTCTCAGTTTATTGTGGGAAAGATGGAGTTTCTCTACCCTAGACCACAGGTGCGGTTTTTCACTCAAGTTCAAGATGCTGATCTGATTATTGCTAAACAGGAGTTCCCTTAAGTTCAGAGATTTCCAGTGTGCAGGCCCTGGCAGACAGTCAATGTTATTGTTGCTCATGTCCAGCGACCGCAGGCTAGAACAATACAGTGACAGAGGGAAAATAAAATCAGAGTCTCCACAGTGTGTAAGAAATTATCACAAATAATTTTACCGAGCTAAGAATAAGAAACGACTTTAAAGCTAGTGGTACTTACATGTAACTATGAGTTTGAGCTTGTAGGTGCATGCATTGGTTAGAACAAAAGGCATGCTTCACTGGGGTGGAGGGAGGCAAATGTGAACAAGGACGTCAGAAACAAAATTGGTCAAGTGGCCTAGGGGGTGATGAGGTAGTAACGATGTACCTGATACTCTTTAATTACAAGAAATGATTTTTTTTTCACCAAAAAGTAATGATAAATGTTCAAAGCAATAGATGCATTTTTTCCCTCGAATATTACCTGATGGTCATATGTCAAAACATCACATGGTACCCTATATTTATAATTTATTGTGATGACTTATAAAATGGACACAATCCGATAATGTCCATAATGACTTTTAATTAACTCCATCAAACCATGGGCTCTGTGCCTTGTGACATGGGCACCTGATCTCATTTCCCTGGCAACCTCAACTTGGTATAGCACCGGAAAAGGTAATGAGTGAATGAGTGTAGGCTTGAGAATTCACATATCACACAGTTAAGACTGGGAAGGACACATGACCTTGGGTGAATGAGATATTTTAGAACTAGGGATGAAAAGGCCTGATGGCAGAGCCAAACTTGTACTTCCCCAGTTGAAGCTGGAGAAACCATTTTGAATAAAATCATGGGTGGGGCCTGACTAGAGGGCACAGTTCCAGACAGAGTCCCAACAAGACAGTTCAATTAGCACAGTTCTAGGACACAGATGATTCCAAGAGCCAAGTTCAGGCCCGTTCTTAAAAACTAAATTTGGGGGCTGGAGAGATGGCTCAGCGGTTAAGAACACTGGTTGTTCTTACAGACCCAGGTTCAAATCCCAGCACCCACACAGCAGCTAACAACTGTCTGTAACTCCAGTGCCAGGGGATCTGACAGCCTCTTCTGACCTCTATGGGCATTGCATGACATGGGTGCACTTACCTACATGGAGGCAATAACACATACACATAAAATAAAAATAATAAATAACATTAAAAAAAAACTAAATTCAAGCGTTAGGCTTTTATTTGTTTAGGTGATCGTAACGTTGGCGTAGTAGCACCACAATAATTTATATATGTCAGTTCAAGATTTTTTTAAAAAAGAAAGCAAAAACTTGGGACTGGAGAGATGGCTCAGCAGTTAAGAGCACTGACTGTTCTTACAGAGGACCGGGTTAAGGTCCTATCACTCACATGGTGGCTAACGACTGTCTGTAACTCCAGTTCCAGGGGATCCAATGCATCTTCTCACCTCCTGGGGCATTGCATGACACAGGTGCATTTACATACATGCAAGCAACACACTCATATACATAAAATAAAAATAATAAATAAAATATTTTTAATAATGAAAAAGAAAGCAAAATCTTGAGGTCTAATTTCTCTACTTTAGGTACATAAAAATGTGTCAAAATGAGGAAAGGATCAGTGTTCTACAAATGCTCATGGGTCATGAGAAATTATGATTAATAAATGGACAAAATGCTTACTGAGAGTCCTGCCTCCACTACAAGATTTGCAGATGTGGAGCCCCCACTATCCCTTCATGGAAGGGGCTTACTCAGTCATGAGGGGATCCTTCAGGCTGCATCTGTAGCTAACTAGCAGTTAGCTACTCTACTCTGGAGTTAACTAGTAGTTAACACTCAAAGTGGTGTGCATACTCTTCTTGCAGCTTGTCTCAGTGTGATGACCGTCACAGCACTGAGTGTGGCTGGTAGCATCAACAGGCCCACTCTGCAAGCTGCCTACGCTCACCCACATTTCCCATGAATGCAAGAGTGAAGGGAGAATGAAGTCAGATGGCAGCTGAGGTGGACTTTCACATGTTAACTGACCCCTTTTACCCCAGTTATCTGAAGCTCAATGAATTCATTCTAAGCTCACCTAGCAGACGAAAATTTGGGACTATGAAGCAGAATGTGTTCTACTGAAATGCATTAGATTTTGTTCCAGTTATCTTAGAAAAATGTGTGAAAAGCTAGAAAAGCATAGAAATAATTTATGCTATGCTTAAGTCAAAACCTTCCTTCTAAAAGTTATGCTACAGCTCACATCTTTAAAACAAAAGTAAGGATAAACTTACTGTGGTAGAATTAAAATTACATCTGGAATGCATGTAAATTTATTCTGAGATAATTTTAGGCTTGTTATGGAGGAAGGTAAGACAGGCATAGTAGCTGAAAGAAAATAAAAAGATAATGAACATTTTTAATCATTTCAACCAGATTTCTATTAAGCCCAATTAAGAGCAGTTACCAATGAAACACCACTTACTTTAATTTCTATTTTCACACTCACTAATGTTATACAAAAAAATTTACCTTATAAAACAATAATATGGTCATTAAACAATAAAGTACTTTTAAGAATTTTAATCTTAAAACCCTTAAACAAGTATATAATCTTATACAGCCAATATTTTCAAAGTAAGAAATTTTAGAATATTCAGTCAATTTGAAATGAATACAATGTTATTAAACAACATATAGTATAGATTAATTCAAATGACTCAGCTATAACAGCTATAAGAAAACATCGTGAATACTTTATTAGCACACAGCATAGCAGAGCAGTACCATCTCATAAAGGGTCTAATAAATGAATGGTATTTAACAAAAATATTCTTCAAATACATGCTCTTAAGACACTGGCAAGCATTAGGTAAAATAAAGTGAAATATCCCGGAGTTTTTGATATGTGCCATATTCTAGGAATTTCCAAGAAGAAAATACAGCTTGAGGTGCCTCCAGGAGTAAACTTCAGTAGAACAGTTTAGGAAACTAAGCCAACCACCTGGGAACAGTCCAGGCAAACTCAGACTCAGTAGAATTTCAGATCTAGAGTTTGTGAACTATAACTCTATGGCTTTGTGAAAATCATCTTCAGGTTTCCTTCCTAGCATTTTCAAGATTAAAATATGAGTCATATTTCATATAGGGTATCTTCAAAGGTCAGAGTACTCTAGGGCACTGCTGAGAGCTAGCCTCTGAAAAGAAAAAACAAAACAAAACAAAAATGACATTCTCCTGAAGCTTCCAAAATGTACTTGTGACATAAATAAGTCAGTAGAGATGGTTCTCCACCCAAGAAGTATCTTGTGGCTCAGATGCTAAATGGGAAATGCTTGTCAAATCAAAGAACCTGGGCTTCGCTTCACATGGGTAATTTTTAATATATGTTTAGAATAATTCTTTGAGAATTTCATACAATGTGTTTGGATCACATTCACCTCCACCGCCCCCACACACACACTCCTCCACTTAATGCCTCCCAGGGGTTATTTTTAATAGTGGTGTACTGCTCAAATGCGCCCCCATCAATCATCTTCTCAGATACAAGCCCAGTTCTCAAACCATTAAGTCTGTGTAATGCTCTTACAGTTTGGATCCTTAATGTCCCTAGTGCCCTGGTAAGGACAACATCCACACACAAGACTTACCAAGAAAATTCATTTTGGCACTGAAACTCTCCACTTTCTGACAATCCTCAAGAAAGTTCTCAGGAAGGGATGAAATGTGGTTTTTACAGACATTTAAAACCTTCAGTTCCTTCAAGCTCAAGGAAGAACATATCCCAGCTATTTTATTTCTAGTTGTAAAAAACAAAACTGAGGATTAAAATGTACCGCTTCCAGGCACGTTTACTACTCTTAAAAATTAGTTGTGAAAATTTCAACTGACAAAATTGCATTTTGTCATAATCGTCTCTGTATTTTATCATGTCTGCTTCAAACTCATTACTATAGAAACGTCAGTGTTTTGTCAACCTTAGGAAGTTCACCATAAGGCAAGCCTGCGGTCTTAATGAGTCGGATCTCACCCTTCCAACGTGAGCTGCTCCAGGTTTTCCACCGCAGTGGCGAGGTTCTCTGGGACCAAAGACAGCTGGTTGTATGACAGGTTAAGCTGTTTCAGGGTCGGGCACTTCACCGTGGGATCTAAAACTACAGAGGGCCCGATGTCGTTTCGCGAGACATCAAGATTGGTGATACAAGTCATTTTCAACAAGTAAGAGGGAAATGATGTGAATTTGTTACTGTGCAAATCCAAATGTGTCAAACACTTCAGAGTCTGAAAGAACAACGTTTTAAAATTCTAAAATGAATATTTGAGAACTAAGTTTAGCATCATGTCTGCCTTTCATACCTTGGCTAGAACCCTCTGTGATTTTTTTTTTTAATCTGAAGACTCGGTCCACAACAGAACTCAGTGTGCTCACTGGCCCAACCTTCCCTGCTATAGCATGTATAAAGCCATGAAAAGTATCCTAAGTCCCCATCAGAAGCAGGCTCACAGAAACAGAGTTGAGAGCTTAATTCAGCTGAATTTTGGAAATGACTTCTGCAAAGAGGAAGAGAGAGGCGGGGCTCCAACTTGCACGGCTGAGTCTATCAGAGCAGGCTCTACTTTCGGGTTATGGATATTAAAATGTGTAAGGATTTCTAACAGGCAGTGTTTAGATACCTGTGTAAAACCCAGAACAAAGGGGAATTGGGACCCAAAGCCTAAATGTAGTGCTTGCTTCTGGCAGACGCAGAGGTGCGGGCTGCACAGCAGTGCAGTGCCCTGCGCGGTGCCGAGTCCCGGGACGAACCTCGCACAGGTGCTGCGGGAAACAGGTGAGGACGTTCTGCTGAAGCTCCAGCTTCACCAGGTGCTCCAGGTGGCCGCTGAGACAGCACCGCGGGCTCAGGGCATCGATGTCCCTCAGCTCGTTGGCCGAGAGGTCTAGCGATGTGATACAGTCTCGCTCAGAAGTCAGGGAAGAAGAGCTTCCCGAATGCCTTGAATAGGATGGAAGCTTGGAGGACCCTTATTTTTCAAAACACAGAAGATGGCAACGTGAGTACACGGTTGGAACTCACCTGGGAAAGTTTTCGGAGCCCTGTCAACTGAGTGTCAGGCTCCCCCGGGCACTGAGGAGTCGGTAAAAACAAGCCGTGGAACTCAAGTTGAAGTGACAGAGGTGAGGGTAAAAAATACCGTTTATTGTATGAAAGAAAAACAAGTTCCTGATAAAAGGAAGGTTGGGTCTGGAGGGAACGTTGTTCAGACTTCAGAAACCTCCTAAGAACACGGGTCCAATGATATTCAGAAAAGGTAAATTTTTAAACAAATGCATTTTATGTTTCTGTAGTCTGTGCAATCATTAGATAAATGCATATGAAGTTCAGGGGCTGGAGAGATGGCTCAGTGGTTAAGAACAAAGACTGCTCTTGCAGAGGACGTGGGTTGAATTCCCAGCACCCACATGGCAGCTAACAACCGTCTGTAACTCTGATAACCAGGGGATCCGATGCTCTCTTCTGACCTCCACGGGCACTACACAACATGGGTGCACCTACCTACATGCAGGCAATACACTCATACACATCAAATAAAAACAAGAAATAAAATATTTTTAAAAAGAAAGTTACAAAGTTCAAATTGGAACCATGAAAATTTGAATAATTTGTGCAAATTAAAGCAATGCATTCTCACTAAAATATCTCTTTAGTTAAAGTTATTTCCAAGTACTTACTGAGCGAATCATCTGAAGACAGTATTTTTCTTTTTCGCCTCAGTAATTCCTCCTGATCAAAAATGGGACCCTATGAAGCAAATAATGTTATGCAAATCAATTTTTTATGGTTTCTGTCAATTCTGAGGAGAAGACATTTCTGTTAGCTGCAACCAGGAAATGTCAATAGGGAGAGTAAGCGGGAAGCAAAACTACAGCCTTAAAAACAAGGTCAAAAGAGAACCCATTTTAGTGCCAAAATGGCTTTTAAAATGCAGGCTCCCTCTCCTTGTTTTACTTTCTTATTTAGAAGGGTCGCACTGTGTAGTCCAGGTTGGCTTAGAACCTATGATCCTCCAGCCTTGGCCTCCTGAGTGCTGGGATCTGAAGCATGTGCCATTAGACGCTATCCTTAGTTTTAAACATGAGGAAACTGAGAGGCAGCGAGGTTGAGACAGAAACCTGTGCACATTCACTTCACTCAACAGCAAAAGCACCTTTGTAACTGCTTAGTAAGTTACACCTGCTGTAGTCAACCCTGTGGCCTAATTAACCCTGGCTACCACTCATTCTGCCCATCCTCAGATTAGACCAAACACAAAATAACTCCTTTTGTTTATTTTTTTAATTGGCATACTTTATAAGTTATAATATGTCATACGTTGCATACACTGATCAAATCACTTATACAGGCAATCTGCTAACGTCAGCTTTCTAGAAATAAAGAGCAGACATGTTTCTACCCACAGGTATCGCTGCCTTCACCAGAGAAGCTTCCCTTCACTTAATATTTGTATGTGTGCACCCACGATGTGAGGGCCCATGCCGTGGCATGCCTGTGGAGGTGAGTGGATAGCTATGAAGCTGCTTCTTTCCTTCTCCTTTATGTGTTTCCAGGGATTGAACTCCTGTCACCAGGAGTATGCAACAGGTCTCTTTATCCCCTGAACATCTGGGTCCTGAGGAGCTTCTTTTTGCAGTTAACGCAGAGACTTAACAGCTGATCAAAGTGCTGAGAAAATGAGATGGTAGAGTGCTCAGCCTTAAGTGGGACACCCGCATCATCACCCTTCCAAAGCTCAGGGAGCACCTTGAAAAGGGGGCAGAAATAATGAAAGAGTTGGAGGATGGGGAGGTGTGTTGCAAAAAGACGCCTGGAGATGATACAGCCACAGCACTCACAAGCTCACTGCAGCTGTGGTTACCCACGCAGAACCTGCCCCAAACTGGCCTGCCAACATTTCATAATGGAAGGGGGAGGATTCACTAGGCCCCACCCCTCCCTGAGGAACTATTAATGATTAACAGTGGCTGGAGAAAGGGTTCCACTTTCTTCAGTGGTCTAGCCACTAAGTGCCCACACTCCAGCAAATAACCTCCTGCACAGGCTTGTACTGGTGACCTAAATTAAACCCTAAGAGTCACTCAAAAAAGACATGAGATCAGAGGGAGATGACAGAGGGTACTAGAGGTGAGATGACTAAAAGTTAATCACATTTATATGTAAAACTGTCAAAAATATAAATGAATAAGAACAACCAGTGTTCCTAACTGCTGAGCCATCTTTCCAGTCACAAATAATATATTTTTTAAGCGATTTAAAAAAAGAAAAGAGAAAGAAAAAAAGAATAGAGTGGTGGTTACGAGAGTCTGGGGATGGTCTGGAGGAGGGAGAAGAAAAGTAAGATCCATCAATGGGTTCAAAATTACAGAGAGAGAAGGGCAAGTTCTGATGTGCTGTTGTGTAAGACCATCGCTGTAATCAGTAATATCCTATTGCATATTTCTCAGGAAGAGCTAAATTTATTAATTTTTAATTAATTAATTTCTAAATTTTCATAGATCAAAATAAAATTCTGGCCACTACACAACAAAAGGGTTGAATCTGAAAACAGCATACTTTAAATTTCTTAAGACTATTCCAAACAAAATATTTTCCATTTAAAATTTTCAAACTGTATTTGATTGAAAAAATTAAAACCTTTGAAAGAGAAATCATAGATAAAAGGGGACTATTATACTGTTGTCAATAATACAATCTGCCAAATTATGTGAGAATGACATGTTCTCCTTTGATATTATATTCTTATATATATCCTTTGATAATCAATATCCTTTGATATTATATACCTTAAATATATACATTTAAAGCAGTCAAGAGCTATTTCCATAGCAAAACATATATATTGCACATATATTTTTCAATGTTCAAAACTAATTTAAGATAAAAACTCAAGCATAGGTTAGGATTAATCTTTCAAAGTAATCCTGAAAATATAGTAGTCTTCAATTTTCCCAAGGGGTATTAGCAAACACCTCATGTAAATGTGTTATAGCCTTTGGATCATTGTTAACCAAACAAGAATTAATGATATGCATAATATTAAATGAGTCTCAATAAAAACATATACACAACTGTGAATTTAAGATAATTCATAAATTATTTAGTATGTTTTCATATATATGCATTTGTAAGGTAACTCCTTGCTGGTCACACCTAGCTTCACCATAAAACTCATTTATCAAAAGAATGTCAGATACCAAGCATGCAACATCAACACAATTTAACTTACCAATGAATTGGAATGTCTCTGTGTATTTGGTGAGCAGCGTTGCAACACAGGATCTCTGTAAAATTCTCCTACACTAATTGAATTTGATTTCCTTTTCATGAGAAATGAACTTTCACTTCCTATTTTGAAATGACAAAATAACATGAAAGCAAATAAGGAAAATTAGCTCATCAGAGGTAAGCAGCATAATTCTGTCATGGAGGTATAAATATATTTTCATTAAAAAAGCTTAACAGGAGGGCTAGAGAGATGTGTCAGCAGGTAAGAGCATCGGCTGCTCTTGCAGAGAACCTGGGTTCAATTCCCAGCACCCACTGGCAGCTAACAAACATTTGTAATACACACACACACACACACACACACACACACACACACACACAGAAATTTCACAACCCCCTTTGAACATGAGAATAAAAATGATAAGCTGTGTTGGCTTTTCATTTAAAAAATCCAACGACTTTTTTCTTCCTCCCTGTATACTTACTGTACACCAGTCAGAGGCTGGGCTTTGAGCAAGTGCTGGATAATGAAATGCAAACCCATGCCTCAGAGTCACTCATGGTCCATGAGGAACACACAAGAAAATCCTAGTTACACATATTGTAGTAAATATATGTGTGTACAGGAAACAAAGAAAGTGTGCACAAAATGTGACCAACGGTTTTTCCATTTCTCTAAATTTTTCTTGTGCACTTAAAATAAATGGCTTTATCACCCTGTGTCCCTGTTCAGCATGGAAGAAGCCAGAGCGGTCTGCATCCCTATTCCCTATCTGCAAGTTGGGTAACCTCTTCAGAGGATGGTGTGATAAGAACAGGAGGTAGGAATTGGCTAGGCAGCTGGGGTAAAAAGACCCCAAAGAAAAGTAGCCAGTTTCTTGGCTAAAAGTCAAAATGTCCTTGGGCCTCTTAACAACATACTCTGTTCCAAAGGCCCAAAATGTCAAAAGTATTTGGGAGCTCTCAGCTAATCCCTAAAAGATTTTAGGGTTACCTCTTCAGAAGGGAGAATATTAAGAGTAGCAAAAACCCCATAAAAATACAAATAAATAAATAAAATAAACTTCATTCACCCTGGGCTCAGGGACCATCTCAGAAGAGGGGGCAGAAAGGTTGTAAGATCCAGGGAGGAGGTGCAGAACCACATGGAAACAGAATCCTAGAAGCTCCTGGAAATCTGCTCATATAATTCTTTGGCAATAATGTCAGCATACTGAAGTCCCATGCAAACTCACACAGACCAAAACTCAGCAGAGAATTGGGAAAATGAACAACAGACCCTAATCTTATCTGAAGAAATATTGGCAACTGATTGCTGCTAGGTGAAGAAGAGCTGATCTTCCTAAAATAAGGGACTCTAGGCAGGCTGACTAGACCCCAGTGGATAGACTTGCACTGGGGAACTTCTGGGGACACTGACTTGACACATTGGGCCTTAACAGGGATGACAGGATGTATGGGTTCCAGTGGGGGGGCTATGGGAGGGTGCCATTGGGGACAGGGGTATAAAGATGATTAAGATTGTTTGAGATATTCTGTAAAAAATACATGAGAATTCAATAAAAAACTTTTAAAAATTGCCTTTAAATATTGGAAACACTTTAAATTATTTAAAATTTGACAATCGACTATAATTCCATTTTTATTTTATATTTTGCTGTTTCTTTTATGAATTGACATGAAAATAAACAAAATGGGCTTAGTCTTTTAGCCTTTAGGTAATTTTTTTTATCAGTACTGAGGACTGACCCCAAGACCTCATGCCTCATGCATTCTAAGCATGTATGTACCACTGAGCTATGCCTGAGTTCTGGTTAACAATAATTACTTTCTGAGATAAGAAATGAGAACTACTTATTTTCAAAAATAAAAATCAATAAAATCATACTTGAAAGGATAGTGTACAATTATTTGTGGAATTGTTTATAAGATTGTAAAGTCCACTGCCTTTTACAATTTTTTTATTTTTAAGCAGTTTTATGTGTATGAGTGGTTTTGCCTGCATGTTTAAGGGTACCAGGTGAGTGCAGTGTCAGAAGAGGCCAACAGAGGGCATCAGATTCCCTGGAATTGGAGTTACAGATGGTTGTTAGCCACCATGTGGGTGCTGGGAGCTGATCACAGGTCCTGTGGAAAAGCAGCCGGTGTTCTTAATCACTGAGTTGTCTCTCCAGTCCCACAAATCTACTACTTTTTAGCTTGGAAAGAAAAAGAATTAATTTTAGGTGCTAAAAGCAAATTGTAAAATCAACATATCCAAAAATCAACTTTATAATACAATATAAAATTTAATATACTCTCTGGTTCCATATTAAAGTCTAATTCATTCTATAATATGAATTATTTCTGCTTAATAATTTAAATAAAAGAACTGGCAAGATGGCTTAGTGATAAAGGTCCTTGGTGCAAAGCCCAGTGACCTCAGTTTGAGTCCCAAAACCCACATGATGGAAAAGAGAGAAGCAACTCCTGCAAGTTGTCCTCTGTCCACACATGCTCTGTGGCAGAGAGAGAGAGAGAGAGAGAGGAGAGAACAAATATATGTAACTTAAATTTTTAAAAGATTTTTAATAAACGAAAATTTGTAACTTATTTACATATATTTAAAGACTATGACATTTTCATAATTATCTTATGCTATCTATTTTGGAAATGATTTTTATGTCAACCATTTTAATATTTTCCTGTTTAAAAATACTTAGTGGGCTGGAAATATAACTCAGTGGTATGAACATATTTAGTATGTGTAAAATCTTTTGGTTCCATCTCAGGGCCACAAAAAGAAATAAGTGAAGAGAATTATTTCAAGAATAAGAAACAAAAACTTAATTACCACCATAAGCAACTAGAGAACTGAGCAAACGATGTCAAGCAAAGTGCAGATTGAAACACTGGGCAAAAACAGTACATGATCCATCCATAAAATCTAGTAAGTTACAGGAGTCCTAGGCTCACCCTCGCCTTCACCGTGGGGGCAAGGTAAGGGCAGAGACAGGCTCAGGCAGGAAAAATTTCATGGAGGTCAGATAGATGGATTTTCCAAAACAGATCACAGAGGCTGGGGAGTTGTGTGTTCTGGGGCATAGTCATAAGGCTGAAGTAATCACCATATGGGTTTCAGGAAATGTGAACCACAAAAAATGCAAAATGGGATTCTAGACGCAAGCTTCAATCAATACAAAGAAATTTCCAAACAAAAATACAGTCTTTAATGTCTCTGCACCCAACACAGAGTGCCAAAACCACAGAGGAGAAACTCATGTGATTAAAAGCAGAATTCCTTAAAAACCATATTTACAATGTCAGCATTTCCTCTCAACAAAAATGGAAAGAAAAACCAGTAAAGATACAATGCTAAAGAAAAATGCTAACACACAATTTACCTAACCGATCTTTCTGGTCAACAGCTGCTACATTTTCTTTCAGTCACACACGGAGTATCACCAGGACAGACCATCCGAAATCCACAAAGCAAGTCGCAATGGAATTAGAAAGTCTGAAATCACCGGCATGTGATCTCCAATCAACAAAATGATAAACTGAAACTAAAAAACATATCCAGTACATTTCCAGATATTTTGAAAATAAATGACACTCTTTTAAATAACCCATGAATCCAAGACATCACAAAAGAAATCAGAATTATTTAATGAATTAAGAGCAAAGAAAATATGAAAATTTGAGGAAGAGCTAATACAGTATTTAGAAGAACAGGTAGAGTCTCAAATTTTATATCACAAAATAGGAAATGCTACCAACCAATACTCTAAATTTCCACACTAAGAATCTATAGATTATGGACTGTGTATGCCTATAATCCCAGAACTTGGGAAATGAATGCAGGAAGATCTGCAGCACAAGGCCAGCTACATAAGTAGTAAGTTTGAGGGCAGCCTCGGCTACATGAGACACTGCCTCAAAAGTGAGGTGGGATGGAGAGATGGCTCACTGGGTGAAGTGCATGTTGGGCAGCCATGAGGACATGGGGTCAGATCCTAGCACACAGGTGAAAGGGCCAGACATGGTGGGGCAAACCATTAGCCACACCTGGGGCAAAGATGGAGGATGCTTAAGGTTCACTGGACAGCCAGTCCAGCCAAAACAGCAAGTTTCTGGGTCCATGAGAGAACTGAGAGAATGTGTCAAAAAAAAAAAAAAAAAGACAGAGAAGCAGCAAAGGATGACATTCGACCTCAGCCTTTGGTCTCCAAACCCTGCCCAGTGAGTGAGGGCACCTGCAAACACACACACTCTGCACATGCAAGCACACTCAAACACTAAACACATTCCCATACACAT